AGTTTAATCTCTATATATTTCAAAGTATATTCAGTTTATACAAGAATATAATAAAATATTAATGTTAACTACAACTTCTGATTTAGATAAACTTACTTGGTATTGAGAAACAACTGTTTCATCTGAAGAAACTTCTATTTGCGATTGGTAGAAAGCTAATCAAAAACTTTTTTAAATTTAGCTATTATAGCAATAGATTATCTAGCTATTATATTAACTAGTATTTTATATAAATAACTATTTAGTTTAGCTAGATTAACAGTTACTAAATCATGAAATTCTCTTAATAATGAAACAGTTTGAGCTGTTTTGTGTTTAAAATCTTTGTTTACTAAAGACTTAGAATTCTAAATTTTAAATTTACAAATTTTTCCTGTTAGCAGGTTTATTTTTAATATATGTATATAATTTTTATAATGCTTATAAATATATATGAAACTTTATTATAACTTTTTGCAGATTAATTTTATTTGCTTTTAGCTTGAAAATACCCTGGACACTAGTAGCATACTTTATTTTTTTATTAAATATATTAGGTTTATAAATTTTTATATATTTGAGAGAAATATTAAATACTAACAATATTATATCAATAAAAATTTTTTTTACTATGCAAGTAACATCTAATCGTATTGTTAATTTACTAACATGCCCAATTATGATTATATTATTCAATCAAATTATCGATTAAGTAATTAATTAATAATTTTAATAAGTATATATGAGATAATTTTATTTATACATAAATATGTAATAAGATAATAAGAAAGTGTAAAGTAATTAAATATAAAGCAAATTCAAGTTTTACTTCAAAACAATGTCAAGCAGTTAAAAGTAACAAAATATAATGTAAATTCAAGTTTTACTTCAAAACAATGTCAAGCAGTTAAAAGTAACAAAATATATTCACAATTAATTTTAACCACAATGTTCATATTTTATGAAGTAAATTATAGGAATCTTTTAATTCTAGTTTAGTATAAAATGAAGCGTAGACATTAATCATAGTTGAAGCTTAATACAAAGAAATTATTTTGCTATATTACTATACTATATTATTTTCTAAACCATAATTTAAGTATGACTTAAATTATCAAATGTGTCAATTAATGAATAACTATTGCACCTCATATATTATATAAGCAAATATTATAAATTCGAAGAGTTTATTATAAATGTGTTGAGATTCTTTATACCGATAAATAGTTATAGCGATCT